GGGGAAGAGGGTTGGGAGATGGTGAGGTAGGAGGAAAAGGAGTGACGAGAGCAAGTGCATCATTATATGTGCTCGATCTTCAGTACTCGATTATGTAATCACTTCGATATATTGTTTAAAAGTAAAACCAAATTATTTTATAAGTCTGACAGAGTGATTGTTATCAATATTAATATATATAATTGCATATTATCTTACTAGAAGTATTGTAATTAACTTACAAGTACAATGTATTACTTTTATGACTATTATAATCAATCAACTATTGTTACAAATAACTTATAATATAATTTTAGCAGATTATAATAAGAGTTAAGTGCTTGTATCTCACATGTAATGTTGTAATAATACTATTAGTAAGCTTACTTGCTCTAAAACATGTTTGTAGTTTAATAGAAACTTTGTATATTTCTTACATTTATATACAATCATTATAATTACATTACAAGTAAAATATAAGTATTATTTTAGAATGTAATGCTTATGAAATCATTTTATTAGATTACTTTTGCTATTATTAAATACATTTGTTGCAACTTTTTCGTGATGCAAGTGCATCTGGAATCTGGGAGTTGCTCTGAAACAGTATTTTGTGTAGTTGATCAATAAAAGGAATTACCATTAGTTGTTTTTTTGGATTTTGATTTTGCTGAAAAATTTGGTGTCTCATATTCTGGATACTGTACCATGTTCTTACATATACTACTTTACAAACGTACCTATAGACTTTCCACTAAGAGTGACCTTTTGCTAGTTTGAAACCTGAGGCAAGGTAAACTTAAGGTATTAACTCACAACTCACAGAATATATCAACACCACATTTTATAGTATACTTTGCCTAATACTTTACCATATTGTACTGCTACTGGTAACCAATTAATTCACTCTATTGAAGCACCCTAGGAGTTGCCACATACTTTGCTAGTCAATAAGGCAAATTGGATGAAAAGTTTGTGTATGACTAAAGATAGCTTTGTGGCACTACAAAAGGGATACATTTTACAAACTCAATATGGTGAAGACTAGCCTGGACTTTTAACTCTATAAGTTACTTTGAAGTCTTTCAGTGCTCTTATATAATCTAATACTGTATATGTGTGCCTGACTTTGTTGTATTACTAATTTCCATATCCAGATACTGTAGACAATGTCTATAATATGACTGATTTGTGCCAGTTATGGACTTTGAGAAAGTGTTTAAGTTCCAGATTTATGTATCATATATTTTACAATATACAGTAGAGCTAACAAATGTGAATAGCATGTCCTGATAAGGTATTCAATACTAGATAGTACCTTAAAAGAATAATAATA